ATCCCACCACCCAGTCCAAACTTTTAGGATAGCGGGTGTCAGATTTTCACAATCCAATTGCGCAACGATTTGGCTTGTTTCCCTCGCTCGAAAGCTTGACAGAGCCTCTGCCCGTAGCTACGATTGGTAAGCCGCGATTGGTGGGTGGCGGTTTTTGGGCGTGGCTTAGCGAAAGGTCAGTTTAACAGGAGGATCCCGTGAGAGCAAAAGCACTAAAGGTATGAGACGCCATCGTAAACAAAAGTCAAGCGAACGCAAAGAGACTGAATGCACGAAAGAGAGAGAGAGAGAGAGAGAGAGAGAGAGAGAGAGAGAGAGAGAGAGAGAGGGGTGTATGTTGTATGTGAGAGAGAGAGAGAGAGAGAGCGCGAGTATTGGCTCGATCTCAAGTTCAAATTCAAATTCTCTCTGCGTTCGCTTGACTTTTGTCCACTCCGGCGCCTCATAGTAGTCACGTTGGATACTGTCGAATCAAAACAATCTACCGTGCTTCGATTGGACGTCATGCCGAAAGCGCGCGTGCTCACACACACGCGCGCGCATGCTGTCACACACAGCACGCACACATAAACGGGGAGAGAGAGAGAGAGCGGTCCATGTCAACATACTTTTTTATCTTTGGGCTTTTCATGGGAAGCAGCAAGTCTTTACAAGTCAATAGGGGCAAGTCCTAGTCAAAGTCCAAGTCATTTATGTTCAAGTCCAAGTCGAGTTGCAAGTCTTTTTATATTTTGTCAAGTCGAGTCTAAAGTCATCAAATTCATGACTCGAGTCTGACTCGAGTCCAAGTCACATGACTCGAGTCCACACCTCTGATATATATATATATATTAAACTATTAGAATTACCATATTTTATCCATAATCCACAGAAGATAGTTCATAGTTGTGTTAAAAAACAACAACATACAAATTAATATCAAACAGCTTTTCTATTTTTTCCCATTGGATTGCGACCCCTGGGGTGTTTAGATTAACCACAAATCAATTTTCTGAAAACTATTGTGGCACTCTAATACATAAAAAATACGAGATTTGAGGTTAATATGAAATTAATCTAATTAATAACTGACAAAAAAATTATATGGTTGTTAGACTGTTTTTTGTGGTTTTAATATGCTCAAGTTTAGATAGGCCTATTGTTGTGTGTGCACCTTCGAGAAAAATGGGAATCGTGAGTGACATTGTTATTTTAGGGGTCGCAGGTTAAAAAGTTTGTGAACTCCAGCTGTATGTACCAAACCGTACTAGGGTGCATCTCCGAAAACCATCGTTAGCCAACTAAGGTCACAAGTTGCGTTGTTACAAACAATCCCAATTCCACTGTTCTAAGAACATTAGCAAAATGCATCACAAACTTGTGCACTTGCAACTGCATCTCTAGAGCAGTAGTTAAAAGCATAGTTCCTGGTTGTGTTCTAGTCCCCCTATGCCCTATTCATTTCGAACGTCCACCATTTAAACTTGGAATATTTAAAAAAAAACAATAAAGTCATCTCTCTTTGGTGTAACTTGCTTTCCAAGTATTTTTTTACAGTTAGGTTTTAGTGATCTTCATGTTGAAAATGGCCCTCCCTTCACAGTGCACTTTTAAAACATTCATGTCATTTTGAACGCAGCCATGGCTTATGACAAAAGCTATAGGGGACATTATTATTCAAAAGCGGAATTTAGGTTATGTTTCCAAAGCTTGTGAAAACAAAAATATATAGCATATGTTAATGGTTTAAATTTATAGTAAGCTATTTATTTATTTTGTTATTTTAAACGTGGTTCAAAGGATGGATCTGCGACGTAGGAAACTATGGTTTTGGGAAACACTCGTCACTATATCGATCTTTTCCTAAACGATGCATCGTACTAAAATAGTTCAGCCACTATTTATGTGATTGTTTGGGAAACGCACCCCTGCTCAGTGGTAGCAGTTATTGGTAAATATTGCAGTTGAACCATATCAGTGTGTTTATTTATTTATTTACTGTTTTGGAAGCAAACTAAGACCCATCTTTTCTGCTTGTTGTGAGGACATCAAGATTTGAATGACATTCAACAGGATTTCCAAAGGCTACATTACTAAAGTGTTTTATATAATTTATATCAGCACTTACTGTATTCAAATAAAAGTTATTTTTGGCATTGTTTGCCAAATAACCTTTCCACTTCTTGTGTTAAATAGGTCATTTACCAAATCAAATATTTTTAACATAAACTAAAATGGAGTTTGCTAAAAGCTTCTTTGGGAAACAAATAATGGTTTTTCTACTGTATGGCCTCACTGCAAATCCATTTTGGAACCATTTTTTTTATGTTTTTAATTGTGTAAATAAAATAAGTATTATTATTTAGTTCCTCTTTTCCTTTAACAAATACTTTTTTGATGTTTCTTAATGCATAATGTCCCTGTCTTGTTCAGCTTCTCATTTGATCCCGATTAGGTCAAGGCTTGTTCGTTGTTAGAGAAAACTGGCCACAAATCAATGTGCCAAGTCAAGCATTTCCCAACATATGGAGAGTAAAGAGGGGACAGATGAGGACTGAAATTGAGATCAGGTTATAGGAACAGGGGGTAATGGTGCGATTGGTCCTCCTTACTCTCTTCTCTTGAACCCGTTTCACATTCATCCTCTCTACTGTTCGAAAAAAAAATAAAGCAGGAGAAAGAAAATGAGAGTGAAGTCTGAATAGATTAAAATCAATATGTCTACCTGCTTTTTTATTTTTGTTCATTATTAATCTGTGGCTGAGATGCTTCTCCAGGGAGGTGAGGTAGAAATGGGATTTACTTGCAGGGCCATTTCTGAAGGTGTTTTTTGCGGATCAAGTAAAATAAGCATTGAAAAAAGAAATAGAGTTGAAGCACTGTGAGAATAGATCTCAAATGTGTGCATATATGAAAGGATCTGATTGATTGATTAGAAAATCTTGGAATTACTTCTGCCTTCTGGAATAAAGTGACATCACACGAGTGATCAGAATAGTATATCCAGACTGGAGTGTTTACTCCTCAGAGGGAGATGGGATGAAGAACAAAGCTTTTAGATGGTGTAAACAACATTACATCATTCAGCACAGGGACACAGCAAAGAGTGTTTGTGTGTGTGTCAGTGTGTGTCTGCGCATGCATGATAGCGGTAGTGTAGTATTAAATATAGTATTGTAGTGCTAGAAAAAAAGTACATGTTTTAAGCGAATCTTACAAGCAGATCTGACATCAAGAGAATGCTGTAAGATAGATTTTAAGATAATCATTGCCACACTCCAAACTCAATCCTGGAGAGCCGGTGTCCTACAGATTTTAGCTCCAACATGCCTCAACACACCAGCAAGGAATTTCTTGAAAGCCTAGTAAGAGCTTGATTAGCTAGTCTAAGTGTGTCTTATTGGGGTTGGAACTATACTTTGCAGGACACCGGCCCTGTTCTAAAATGAATTATATAAATAATACATTGGAGGTAAAAAAAAATATGAAAATTGTGCCTATATAATTTTTTACAACCCAGGCTAATTATTAATACTTACCTCTGTATATATTTTTGGAGAGTGCAAAATATGTCCCAGGAGCTACGTTTTAATTTTTTTTTGCAGTTTTTGTGTTTATTTATTTTATGGGTTTTTTTGGTGTGTAAATGCACCAGAGGCCACTGTGTATGCTTGTTCAGATTTCAAATGTCTAGTGTAAATCCACCAGAAGCCACTGTTGACTGACTGACCAAATGACCAACTGTTACCCCCACCCATCGCCTTCCCTAAACCCAACCAACAGTGTTTCCAAAAGCAATCCAGAAAAAAAAAACTTGCGACAAACTGATTTTTACCACGTTTTCATATCTAACCACATTCTCACCCTGTTATTTACTTGTTTATTTTATTTTTTGTTATTTGTTTCACCTGCTTTCTGGAACCATTCTTTGCCAGACTCTGCCTAGTCATGGGGGTTAACCCCGCTCTGCATCTCAAGTCCGCCGACGTACGCGCTGAGCCACTGATAACAGCAGAAAAGCTGTCAATATGGAAGTAAGGGGCCAGCAAAAAGAAATAAAAGCCATCTGCGCCATCATTCGCCATGTCGTTCATTTTAAAGATATACCTCTGGCTACATAATTTACGCTCTCCAGAAATGTATACAAGGCTGTGTATTCACAATGAACCTATGGTACATTTTTTAGAACATATTAAAATAAATTTATTTACTCCTTAAAATACCCCCCAAAAATACAATTAAAATATTAAATTAAAAAATATATATTAAAAACAAAAATCGGATTAGTGTGAAAGACTAACAAAGCAATGTAGTTTTTACAGTTGATAACATACTGTACAATACACAACATAATGTAGTAATTCTACACTAAATAATCTGTATGATGTTCATTCAATCCAGTGCTTAATTTGTAAATTGTGACAAAAGTAAAGAGCAGGTTATAGGGGTCTAAAAGGATGGATAAGATTTTAGAGGTGCCAGATCCAGATCAGACTTGTTTCGGGACAAATTAAGCCCTGATTCACTCATTCAATCATTTTCCGTTCAACTTAGTCCCATATTTATCAAGGATCACCACAGCGGAATGAACCACTAACTATTTCACCATATGTTTTACGCAGCGGATGCCCTTCCACCCACAACTCTGTGATGGAAAGCACCCATACACACTCATTCACATACACACATTCATACACTTCGGCCAATTTAGTTTATTCAATTCCCCTATACCACATGTCTTTAGACTATGGGCGAAACTGGAACACCCTGAGGAAATCCACGCCAACAAAGGGAGAACATGGACTCCAAACTAATGCCAACTGGCCCAGCCGCAATTTAAACCAGTGAAATTCTTGCTATGAGGCGATAGTGCTAACCACTGAGCCTCTGTGACGCCTATGTACAACATACAATACATAATAATATGCACCTGCAACACCTTTAAAAAATTGAGGGAGAATTTTTCTAAGCAATCTTGTACAAATTACAGTCTAATACTTATGTCAAATGCAAAGACTCACCAAGACAGGTGTTTCTAAGCAGAACAATGCGATTTAATATTAATACTTCCAATTACCCGGCATGACATTGATGCAAGACTCGCTCTGCATAGCTGCTGAGCAGATTAGCAGATCTTCATCGCAGCTAATGTAGAATTATTCAGTCTGTAGAGGCGTTACACGCTCATCAGGACCGGTTATTAATCCACATGTTCTTTTATAGAGATCTCTTTCATAAACCACAAAAGAAGTCCACACAAGACCCAAGCAAAGTGACTGAGAGCGCGGAAAAAAAACAGCACGACTACAGACGACTGAATTAGCCAGAGCGTGTTGCGCTAATCCGCACTGTATAAAAATGGAGGCTTTCTTATCAAGATTGGAGATAGGCACTTAGAGTAAAGTAAAATGAGTATCAGGCATGAATAAGCCTGATTAAGCTGGAATAAGCTTGCATAAGACGAGATGTGATGGACGTGAAGCATCAAGAGTGGGTTGAAGGATCAGGGTTGAGACTGGGCTGCATGCATTATGGAAGAGAGAGATCCTTAAGCTCAGTGGATCAGGCCAGCTCTGACAGTGAGAACAGACTCATACACACACACTCGCACACACACACACACACACACACACACACACACACACACACACACACACACACACACACACACACAGTCTGAATATACATGCGTATATAGTCTGGCAGCGGGATCTCTCTTTCACACACAAAGATAGGCAGAATCCTCAAACACTGACTATGACTGCATACATTTACTGTGAGTATGGACTAGCATATATTCTGGTCGTACCCGCTGAGATATAAAGGTGGGTTTCAAAAAAGGTCTCTAAAGGAATTAGCTTATTCTGTTCTATCTTGCTTTCCTTTTATTCTTTCTTGCACACCTCCTTAGTCAAGCTAAAACTAAAGGAAAGGAAAAACACAATCGTTCTTTAATAGCTCAAGTGCTTCTCATACACAATGACAATAATGGCCTGATGACAATTATGGCCTGTTTTTATTGAGTTGTGTGGTACGATATGGTACACTTTTATGGCCGTTTCCACTGTCAAAAGGCACTAAAAAGCGAACCGTACCGTATCACTTTTTGGTACCCTTTTTGAAAAGGTCAGAGCCAGACATGCATTTGAACGCTACTGGTTTACAGAAAAGCGTCACTAGTTCCTGCACAAGCCAGGAGAATGAAAAGAAAGAAACCGCCATTTCTAAATACACAGCAGAGACATTACATCGTAATGCTATATACATATAATAACAAGCCATGGTCAACCCAAGCTCAAACAAACCTTGTCATCATCTTGATGAACAGCCACAAAGCCAAGAAGAACCAAATCTGCCATGTCCTGTTTTAGTTTTAAGAGATTGTCTAAAAGTTCAAGCGGTTTCATTTTCTCCAGAGCTTGCTTGCACCCACAGCGCGTCTATATTTGAAATAAAGAACTTCAAGAGCTGATGATAATAATGTGCGCATGATTATTGAAGTACTTCTGACATCCGATCCTTTCAGAAGTGGACAAACAGGAGAGTGAAGTGTGAAAAAACAAAGGAGAAGCCGGAAAAAAACAGCAACCTAAATGATGGATAAACTGCTCGCACACAAATACTGTCCATGCATCAAAACACGCATAACAACTAATGCCGAGTTCAGACTGCATGATTTTAGCCCCGATTTTGACCCGCCGACAGGTTTTGAGAAATCACCAACAAAGGCCTGAAATTACAGCTAAATCGGTGCTCGTTCACATGAGTAAAAATCACACAGTGTAAACTATCAAAGGCGAGATATTTGGCGTGCTAAATATCTGGAGCTGTCGGCGATTCAAATCACGTCGTGTAAAATGAGTTTTGACTGAAAATAACATCAGCGATTACCTATAGCCAACGAGAGAGCAGCATCCACTAGAATGGGTACCTGCAGGCCAGCGGGAAGCTGGGGGAGAAGTAAAAAAAAAAAAAAAAAAAAGTTAAAAAGAAATTGCTAATTTCCTTCAAACCCAGGTGAGCAAATATGTACATTTTCTAACGCTACCCCATTAAAGGCTTCTTTCTCATAATGTAGTTAATAACAAAATATATACTGCGTGTTTTTAGTTGTGAGACATAGTTTGAACAAAGTTGTCGGCGATTCTTCTTTTGTAAAGTCATGCAGTGTGAAATCCATCTTGCAGTGTAAACAAAGCAGAGACAAAAAAATAGCCCAGATAGTCATGCAGTGTGAAAACATCCGTGACATGACTACTTTGAAAATCATGCAGTCTGAACTCGACATAAGTCAATGGAAAAGCAGCTGTACCTTGTGGCTGATACGTAAAGCACAAAAACTTTTTTTTTTATGAAAAGGCAGCCTTAATAGCTGCAGTAAAGCGTGTGACTGTGGTTGACAAATTGCAGTACTGCGCGTGCAGAAACGCGCATTCTCAGTAGCCATATCTGTATAGTCATCACTTTTTGGACTACTGAGAACTTTAAATGACGGAATTACTTTCTAACAGAGGTTACAAGTGCTGGTGAAGATTACAGATACAGATTAGAGGTTTGCACTGACTTTATAGGCTATATGTTGCATGTTGTTTTTGAACTCAAATAAGGACTAAATGTATGCTTTGTGTAGTTTTTCTGTAATTTGTAACAGACTGTAAGGGTCCGTATGTGTTCATATTTGTTGCATCAATTAATTTATTCATTTATTTAATATGATTGCAGACGTTACACTAGGCTATATCATTGATCTGCCGTTATAACCAAATCATGTTAATAAAAAGGTTAGTAATAAACATTTAAACAGTATTTATGGATATTTTGTGAGAAGTGCTTCGATATAGCACAGCTTTACTTTGACATTTCCTCGAGCGAGAATGAAGTCGACTGAAATTTTCTCCCGTACCATTGGTACCTTTTTGGCAGTGGAAACGCAACCCTGATAAAGGTGAACCATTCCGACCCATACAATACCATACTGTTCCACTCAATGGAAACAGGCCATAAGCTAAGGGCATAATGGTAAATCGAAAAAAATAACACAAAAAAATAAATATCAGCAATGTATAAAAAATTCCTCACACTAAACGATTTTTTATTTTATGTAAAAGTTTTCCAAAAACCAAATCATATGAGATACCCCATCCACTACACTGCTGTATATGCTGAAAAGAGCTATAAATGAGCAGTTTTTGTGGCTACTTTAAAGTATAGTTAGTGCAAACTTAAAATGTCCTGTTTGTAAGCAAATCATTATTTAGAAAATGTAAAAAATCAGTAGAGATTCATATTAACAATACATTATAACCTGTTCACACTTGACAGGTTTGAACTGAGTAGCATGAACTCTGGTACGGTTGTTCTAGGGTGCATTTCAGAAAACTATCGTTAGTCAACTATGTCGCAAGTTCTATTGGTACAAACATAGTTCATTGATTTGGCATTTCCCAAATTCGTTGTTCCAATGAATATTCACAAAGTTTATCGGTTTATAATGTAATGTGCAGCACAAATGTCTTGATACCTCAGGCTAATGATGTTGCCATCCGCTCTGCCGATTTCTTGCACGCCCCCATACTAAATGTAACCCCAAACCACGAGTTTTCCTTCACCAAACTTGACTGATTTCGGTGAGAATCTTGCACCCATGAGGGTTCCTACAAGTCTTCTGCAGTATTTGTGATGATTGGGACGCAGTTCAACAGAAGATTCATCGAAGAAATCAACTTTCCGCCACTTTTCCAAATAATCAATTAGAAGTTTTTATTTGTTGCTCCTACAACTGGGATCAACGACAAGACTTTTGTCAGGTAGTGTTCATAACTAAAAAGTAAAGAGTGTAAAATAAATAATAACCGTTTAAACAATTAAGTAATTAATACACTGTAATACACCATCCAACCAGATTTGGTATGCTAAAATGAATCAAACTTATCAGTGCAACAAAAACCAGCTCACATCAGTGAAACAATGTAAAAGAGGCACAGCTAAATACGTCCTCTCTTTGAACCTGCCTTGGGTTCAGAGACACTTGGCACTCCAGAGGCAAGTCTCAGTTATATTTTTATGCCTTGGAACAGATGGAGGTGAAGACAAGAGGTCACATGACTATAGGTAGTGTGAGATGCCATCAGTGGACTTGGACACCATTGGAAGTGGGAATTAATTTTCCTGGTCGTGGTCCATGTCCCTGCACAACCCGCAAGGTCTCGCCAACCCGTAAAACTGGAAGTGAGTTTAGTCCCCGGTGAAGTCAGAGAGCTTCTGTAAGGCAGGAGACTGTTTCCTAGAAATGAGTGTGTCTTTTGGGGGCGTTGCAGCTTTGAACTTGACCATGTGGATACAACACAACCCACTCCCACAGCTCAGAGGAACAGACCAAACAGAATTTAGAGCTCATCAGATAATAAACAATACATCAAAGCATCATTGTTCTCTGACACCCTTCAACACACACACACACACACACACACACACACACACACAAGCCTGTGAAGCACACACAAACCTCTGAAGAGTCACATCCAACTGTTTGATCCAAGGTATGAGAGCTCTTGTTGGATTAGCTGTGTATGAGAGGTTTCAAATAGATCATTACCATCTAGTAATTACCAGTTACACCCACTCTGGGGCTCTTCACCCGTCCGTGAGCCCACACAGAGAGGCATCTCAACCAACACCTCCACAGCTCTCTATATACAGACACTGAGACAAATACACTCACACACACATACACACATATGTTGGTTTTGGCGGCTCATGAGGTCTCTCCATAGGCTTAATATATTTTATACTGTAAAAACTGCTTATTATCAGGCCTTACCTCTACCCCTAAACTGAATCCTTCCAGCAAAGGTTCCTAACCTTTTTGTCACTGCGGACCGGTCAACGCTTGAAAATTTTACTGAAGCCCGGAGGAGGGGCATCATCCATCATCCATTTTCTCAGAGGATGACAAGCTGACAAAACATTGCTGCAACTCTGATGCAAGTTTAATTAATGGAGAAAATTGACCAGCATAGACCATGCCACACTTTGAGCTAGACTTGATTATAGGGATGTAAGGGATGGTAAGGGAACAGTAGGATGAAGAGGAACCGTTAGAGAGTAGGATAAAGGATAAACAGTTTGAGAGAATGAGAAGAACAGTATTAAAGGGCTAGTCTGCCTTAAATATGTTTTAGGAAGTAGGTGATTGGTTAAGGAGACAAAGTGAAGCATGGTCCTGCTGCAGAACCTTGGTAACAAGCTAACTTTATTTAAAAAGCACTACAGTGTTTTCTGATAATTAGTCTACCGATGTGTATGTGTATAGTCCATACAAAATATAAAACTGATCAGTCAGTATATTTGTCTTGTGACTCGCGGTGCGCTCCCAGCATTCTGAAGATGTTTTCAACTGAGTGCAGGTGGATGGCGCTTTGCTTCGCATTGCATCGCATCGCTCCCAATATGTGCTCAAAAGCCCCGTGCCTCCTTTAAAAATGAAAGAACTTGTCTTCAGCAGTTGATCTTTTTCTGTTTCTG